GCAATACAGAATAACATTCAACAAGGAAACAACCAATTAGAAGACGTTGCTCCTCTGTTGATAATAATGTACAAAAGAATCCATAAATATCTCTTGATTTTCTCAATAAACGGTCTGTTGCCTGGCCATTGTCTCCTGTCATTACACTGTCATACCAGCAAAGTTGGGTAGGTAGCAGTCAGACTAAAACCGGATGCCATTATAGCATAAGTCATTAATAATATGTTGGGCGTCTGAGGGGGAAGTTATGCTGCTAGGAAATGGGAATGTATTTCCATAAAACGACTGGGAAGTCAGCTATATTGACTCTGTGCTTCAGAAAGGGAGATTGGAAAATCTGGACCGCATGCGTTGCAGTCGTTCGCTGACAATTTATCTTATACATCATTAAATTATGCGTTTCACAGAAAATCTGCAGCTAAATAAAATATGCGACATACGATATTAAGTTCTGTCATCCTGAAGAGACTACAAGATTCTCTAGATGACAAACTCGGCCCAGAACAAGCTGAGTTTAGGAAAACCAAATTATGTGCTGATGAAACTGCAATGCTATGCGTCATTATCATCAAACAGAGCGTAGAATGGCAGGCAAATGTCTATCTGAGCTTAATAAACTTTGAGAAGACCTTCGATAGCGTCGACAATGAAGTAGTTTGCAACCTGCTTCAAAAATACAGGGTGCCCCAAGCGTTTATCTACTTCATTCAACAGCTATATGACAACGTAACATGTCAGACGATACACAACGAAAAAATCAGTAAAGCTTTTGAAATGAAGACAGGAGTAAGACAAGGCTGTCTACTATCACCGATGATATTCCTGATTGTGGTGGGTTGGATCACATGGCAGACCATGGGGAAGACCGTCACGAGAAGACAAGAATACATCGGACCGGTAAGAAGACTCTAAACGATCTAGGCTTTATCGATGACTTATGTCTAATGTCACTCACATAAACTCGAAAACCTACACCAGGTGAAAGCCAACAATTTGGCGGAAGAAGCAGGCAAGGAAGGCACGACTTTAAGTGAACATGGAGAAAACAGAAGTGATGAATATGCCTAACCACCACCACCAACAACAACAACAAGCACCAATCACTTCCAATTGGGAGGAAACTTGGACGAGGTCAATTCCTTCACTTATTAAGGAAGCATCATTTCAACTACAGACAGTAGAACGGATGAAGATGTGAAAGCCAGTTGGGATCAGAAAATCAGCCTAGAAATCTGCTGCACTCAACATAATGAACAATGTTTGGATTTTCAAAATCAATGTCAAGTCAGTCAGTTTTTGTTTATGGCTTAGAAACTTTGACGCGTCACCAAAAGCCTTTCCAACAAGCTTTGGGACTTTTGATCAACAACTGCTTTCGTAGGTTTGACACTGAAGATCAGAGGGCTGACCAAAAGGGATTACCAACAGTGGAACTCTGGCAACGAACTAAGAACCTATCACCTAATGAAATATGCCTAAGGGGAAATAGTGGGTGATGTGGAGGAGATCTTACGAGAAGGAGACAAGAGGTTAATCATGGGCGATCGTGGAGTCATCCTAAAACTGAGAATACCTCAGTAAATCAAACCTTATACTAATAAATTAACTGTACAAATAACAGTCTTCAGTGTTTAGCCTGGACACCAACGAACCTCTTCCTCGGATCTATTACGTCTTAATAATACACTGACTGAAATTCAACATCTTATCGCATATACACATCCGCAGCCACGAGATGTGATAAATTTCAAGGAATAAAACACACATACAATTTTTTTAAAGTATTATTTATATATATTTTTATATTCATATGTATATATATATATTTATAGTGTAACATTTTTTCCTCAAACTTTCATGATACATATACACTTTGAAAAAAAACTGAAGACGAAGGGAGAGATAGACAGTAAGATACAGTGACAGAGGGGAAGAAGATCCAAAAAAACAAAACAAAGGATATCAAGAGAAATAAAACCGTAATATGTCAGTTTTGTTTTGCACATCAATGATAACCCTGTTTTCCGGGAGTACATAATAATCGAAAATGTTGGTTGGTTGTGCCATAATTACTACATTGTATCATTACTATAATTATTATTATGAATACTACTAATACTAGTACTACAAGTACTACTGTCACTACGCTTCATTACCATTATTATTACTATTATTATCATAATCCTTCTGGGTACTGTTCATATCGTTTACAAGTATGTATATATATATATATATATATATATATATATATATATAGAAAAGTTAATTTCATTTAAAAACAAAGTGGTTTTACATAACTTTACTTGTACAAATAAATTGAATAAGTCCAGGGAGGGAGTAAAGTAAGTAAGACCAACTGTAGGAAGGAACTGTAGGCAACAATATTAGAATGTATGTATGTATGTATCTGTATAGATAGATATTGAGTGTATTTGTGCATAGTGTATAAATGTGTACTTGTGCAGATATTGTCAAAAATTGAGTACTCATGTTTACTCTGAATAATAATAATAATAATAGTAATAATAATAATAATAGTAATAATAAACTCTTGTAACCCTTATCTTACATCAATAACAAATACCTAATTATTTCATAAAAACAAAGAATAAATACATTATAGCGAATAGATAGATAGATAGGTAGGTAGATAGATGGGGAAAACCCGATAAAACAAAAGGAAATGCACCGTTTTCATGTGTGTGTGAGTCGAGTTAATAGAGTATAATAAAATCTTTATCGTACATGATTACAGTAATACTTGTTACATATATTTATACGTATATGTATATATATGATTAACCAGAAATCGAAACGAAGGAGAAGGCGGAGAAGGAGGAAACGAAGAAGAATGTCAGAATTAACCACCACAACAGGGAATAACAGAAGGAAAGAGAGTTAAACAAACAGCAACACCGCCGTAGAATATACACTAACGCATATACTTATATCGAGGCATATGTATATATATATAGTATGAAATAGTAACACATGTGAGATAGTAGACACGATTACTGTTTAACAAATACACCAAATTTATGCATATAATATAACATTAAATTACACGAATAATAATAATAACGATAATATTGTGGAAGTAATTTCCATGTTAGCTGTCTTCAAAGTTTATAATGAAGCCCTATAATTTATCTGCCTTCTTTCCTCCTGTATCATACTCATTTTCTTTTCCCATCAGATGTGTTGCATGTACCACCCACCCATCACCTTTGGTTTGGTTTTGTTTTCGTTTTGTTCCTTAACCAGTGATGATTACGTAATAGACAAATAAACAGTTAATCAATCAATCAATCAGCTGATTAAAATGTATCCTTTCCAGTTGTGTGTGTCTCTTTGTTTTCATTGAGAAATAAATACACACAGAATACAAGTTAATAAGGGAAATGGAGGGGGACGAAAGAAAGATGAGACGATGACGGCAACAACAAGATCACTACTGTAGGTTAACCATAGGGAGGTGAAATGAACGCAGGGGAGAAGAATGAAAGCAGTGAGATTGGAGGGAAAAATACCAAGAACAAAACCACCTTGAAACACACTTGAAATGATACTTATTCATAGAAGGCAAATAAACATTAGCTTCCATAATACTACTACTACTGATATTCTTATCATTATCATTAACACTATACACAGTTTTATACATAATACTTCTGTATTAAGCATGACAACAGAACAAAAGAAAAAACGGGTGAGGGGTAGGTGGTGGTGGTTAGTGTGTACACAGGAATAATTGTTCTATCCACTACGTTTCCCTTCACTTTTACTACTTTAAATAAATGGCTTAAACACTACTACTAGCCAGCAGCAAAAATGAGTTGAAATACAACAAAACATAACACAATACAAGTACAGTACAGTACAGAGAGTAGGAAGATATACAGGGAGGAGGACGAAGAAGAGGAAGAAGAGAATTACAGCTGCCATAATTTACTTTTTCATTCAATTAATTAATTAATCAGTTAAATAATAATTATATTGGTTGAATAAAACAATATACCCCCAATATATGTCTATGCAGGTATACAATAGAGATGTGATGCAGATGAACAATAATAATAATAATAATAGTATTATTATTACATAGATAGATAATCCCATTTACTAATCAATCTAGTAAGAAATCTTGTCAACTGCAAACACTGACAAAAGAATAAAAGATACAATAAGACAATAAGAAGAAAAACAAGAAGAAGAAAAATAAGCCTCGATTTTCACATATATATAAGTGAATTGAGGACCCTGTACGAGAGAGATATACGCACAAACATAGAAGAGAAACGAAATCTAGAGTAGATCTCAATTTCAAAATCATCATCATCATCACCATCATCGTCACAAAGATGAACAATAAGGATTAAAAAAAGATCAGAGGAAAACCCCATACAAGGGAACAAAAAAGAACAACAAGTCCATTGGAGGAAATAACAACAGGTAATTAATTGTTTCAATGTTTTATACATGATTTTGGCGGGGAAATATACATGAAACGTGCATTGAATGAAATGTCGGTTTCTTTTCTTTTCTTTTTCTGTTTTGACAATATGATGTATCCTGCTTCTATTTGCTGCTAACGATCATGATGATGATGGTGATGGCGATAAAGACGGTGGTCGTATCGCGTCATCACAACGCTGATGAACATATATTCATTATCGTTGTCAACATTGAAAGGAAGAAAAACAATAAGTAATGACAAGTGAATTTACATTATCTTAGAGTAAAGTAGATTATAGTAGTAATAATAATAATAATAACAATGGTATTCATTATCATGATACAAAGTTAGATATCATTCAAGTTGACGAGAATATTATCTGATGAATACTTCTCTTCTGTGTGTGTGTGCGCGCGTATTCCCGCCTCCCCGCCCACTCCACCCCTTCCATCAAAATAACCCCCGGGGGGGAAAACATTCAAGTGTGTCAGGAAAATAGTACAATTTTTTTGGTAATTATTTACTACTATACTCTGTCAGAATATATATATATATATATATATATATGTAAATGTCAATTTAAAGGGATGGAAGGATATATTAGACACACACACCTAATCAAGTAGTCAGTATATCAGGATCATGCGTTTTCTTATTGTGATTACCATCATCGTTATCGACGACAATAACTAAGGGATCCTCATCATCGTCATTATCCTCATTGTCATCTTCACCTGCATCCCCATCGCCATCATTATCATCTTTGTCGTTGATTCCCATAAAATCAGCTACACCGAATCGAACAGACTCACGATTTGTCGATGTTGTTGTTGTTCCAGTAGTAGAGGCAGGAGTAGTTGTAGTAGAAGTGTCAGTAGTTGTATTATCAATATTATTACTTTTATCACTATGGAATGCTAAATTATCATTATTAGTATTAGTATTCATAGAATTACTACTACTATTACTAATATTTGTACATGTAAATGCCAGGCATGATTTTGATGAACTCGTCTGTATAACATTTTTGTCATTATTATCATTATCACCCTCATTATTATTATTATTAGCATCAGTTGATGAATTACAACAGATACGTTTATTAGGAGGTTCAATAGAATTTGTATCTATACCAGTTTCTTCTACAGAATGACTATCAGTAACCGACTTCATATTAATCGGTTCTGTACATAATGCTGATGATAATGACGAGTAGGAGGAAGCGGTGGCGGCGCCGGTGACAGAGGTGGATGTTTCTACACCACTTGATGTTGACATAAAATTGGAACAACTGAATAACGAATGTTTTGAATTATTCTCTGGAGAATACTTTATAGACGTCCACAGCATATCATCACTGTTTGTATTAGTACCGCCGGCACAACTACTAGTCGTAGTCATCGTAGCAGTAGTAGTAGTAGTAGTACTAGACGAATCACCATCATTGAATGCTAGAGAAGATTCAACGCTAAATTGATTTGGTCGTAATGATGTCGACAACGACGGTTTAAACCTTTCGATAGTATCGCCGCTATCAGACTTATTGACTGTATGCAATTGACTAAGTCGGCCATGTGAAGTATTCAAATCAAATGGATTTAATTTTGGAGAGATAGAAGCTAGTGTTTCAGGAGGAGCAGCTGGAGGATTTACTGAGGATGACAGTTTAAAAGCTGAAGAATATTGTGACCAATTAGGATAGAAGTTATTCAAACCATTATCATTATTATTATTATTCCATAATTCTTGTGAACTGGATTTTTCAAGAAAATCTTTGTTGTCGTTGTTGAATCTATCTGGTATTCTTGACTTATTACAGTTGGGTAAACATTGAGATGCATGACTAGTAAGTGAAGATGATCGAGGAATTGGCAAAGAAAACGATGGTAACGCTGATGATGATGTTGGTGGTGGTGTCATTTTGGCGTTCAATTGTTCAAATGTTGAATTACGTGAATTATACGAATCCGTCATTAAAAATGAAGGCGGTAAATTCAAGACAGGATTTAATGAACGTGATGACTGTGAAGGATGGATAAATGCAGACGGTTTACCAGTGTTATAAGCTTCTGACATCAGGTGAGATTTTAATCGTGAATTAAAACTAGACAGTGAAGTGTTTTCACCAGCTCCGATATTATTATTATTAATTTTATTATTATTATTATTTGAATTCAATGATGGATATAGAAATCCTGAAGGTAATGCTGAATGAAGTTTACTTGAATGATTAGACAGATTAGATTGATGCGATGAATGCATAGGATGTAGAAATGGATCCATAAAACTAGTCAGGCTTCCATGTCTTGCGAAATGAGCAATTTGATTTGTTGATGATAATTGACTTGCTGTCTGTTGGGATCCACTGTGTGCAAACTCTTCTGCATCCGCTTCAGAGATGAATCGAATACACTTCTTTTTACGACTATTTGCGAGAAAAAGAAAAAAGATAGAAAAGCTTAGAATAACTGCAATTTCATGAATAAGTAGAAGTTAGAATTTATGGGTTATTGACTCAAGTCCCATTGACTGATTGGTCTACAAGTTTGCCTAGGTTCGAACCCTCGCAGTGTGTTGGTTATCAGTCCATGGGCGAACTTGAAACAAAAATTAAATCTCTACAAACTAACTGTTGGAAATTAATAATTTCAGCTTAGGTGGAATGTTTAGAAAAAGTGGAGAGAAGAAATGTGTAATGCCATCATAATGGACTGTACATTTTCTCAATATTTTCACCTAGAAGGGACAATGTCATTTGCATAGTGTACATCATTGAGACGTTCGTTTGATAACAATGCAGCTTCTAAAACATCAAAGTCAACTAACGTCATATTTATCCCAACGGACACCAGTGAAAGTTATCACCTCAGATGATAGCTACCCATAAGTTCTTACACAGGTGTAAATGTTCGATTAAAGTGTATCGATTGATGCAACATACATTACCGATACTCTCTTGAAGGCCAGATATTACTACAGCATGGGATCGAGATCAGATCGTGAAATATAGAAAGTGCTGAACCCTGGTCAGCGTGTCTCTAATTTAGAATGTGCCGAAGGTTGGATATGTGTGACTACCACACCCACGTCTGGGTGTGGAACCTATTTTTTGTTTTATTCGAGTTTTTCTATCTCGAGCTCCGCTTAGATATTATGTAAGTTGGTCTTAATTTTGATTATTACAAGAAGATTTATTTCCCTTCTTCAGCAAACTAGAATGATCAACAATCCTGGATTCCTATACGCTAGTTGATATACTTTAGTGAATTTAGTCAAAAATTCCTCGATATGCTTTCAAGAAATGGCTTCAGCGAAATTACAGGAAGTCAAAAATGTACAATTCTCTCTCGGTGGAACTTTACAAGTATACTTTACGACAAAAGAAAATTCTACGACACGCTGGAAACTGAAGCAGAACCAGATAATCAGATACTCATCCGAGAAGATACCAACAGAGATGAAACTAATGAAAGATAATGAAGGGAACCTGATTACCAAAGAAGAGAAACAAAGGAAACAATGGGCTACTAATTTCAAACGACCTCTAAACCGATTACCGCCTACAACTTGTGCAGAAATACCGACAACAGTTGGCACAGAACTACCAATAAACACCAGTCTTCCGACAAAAGTAGAAGTCTTGAATGCTACGAAGCTACTGAAAGCTGGGAAGGCAGCGGGACCAGGAGGAATCCCTCCTGCAGCACGGATCCAGAGACCTCAATGGATATCCTCACGCCACTATCACAGATTAGATGGCCAGAAAAGATCAGCGATATGGAACTCTGTTACGCAACGAACCAACCAAGAACCTATCGCCTAATATACCAAAAGGTGTGTGCACTGCTCAGTAATCCGCTCCGTCCTCCTTTATGGCTGTGAGACCTGGCCATTGAGAGTGGAAGACATGAAGAGCTTAGCTAGCTGTTTTTGATCATAAGTGCCTGCGTTCTATCTCCTGTGTGTGTTGGGTGGTATAGTAGGGTGAGTGAAATTGAGATTAGGCATCGGTCGAGTGTTAGGTAAGGAGGGGAAATCAATCGACGAGGATGTGAAGTTACATCGACTGAGATGGTTAGGATATGTGTCACGCATGTATTCCTAGCCATAGCCTTCCTCGACGGCCAATGTTAGCTGACATAGGGTCAGGCTGGGAAAGAGCCAGTCGTGGTCAAACCAAAACGTGATTATGAGCAATAAATTGTGCTCGAAACGTCATCAGTAAACATTACTGTATAACACTGTGAGACTTTATCAAAACAAAATTTACCCATAATGGAGCTAGCAACTCTACCCCGTAAAAATAAACACCAATGCTACAGAAACTTCAAGCCTCTAGCTTGAAGCCCCATGTTCCACTGGGAATGTAAAGGAATAAAAAAAGGTTGCTTGTGTGGAAGAAGAGTGACACAAATAACGCTAAAACATGACTGTATCGTAACACAAATTGGTCGATTGACTTTAAAACACCTGTCCTACGGTCATGGTCGCTTCCAAAAACGAAATGCTCAAATCAAACAGCATCTCATACGTATACGATTTTTTTCAACACTTTATACCTAGAAGATAAAAAAGCTATCCGAATGTTAACACCATGATTACGTAACATACTTTCATCCAAATAATCAATAAAATAAAACCACCAAGGTGGAAAAACGGTGAAATACATACCGACAAGGTTTACACCACATATTCTGATGCTCTAGACCAAATCGAGCCCGACATTTTTTCAAATTCCCACCAGACAATTCACCAACTGCCATAGCTGCAGCTGCAGCCACTGCGGCCACGTTAGTCGACACAGATGAATGCGAATTGGACGTATTCTTCAGATTTTTTTTCATCATCTGGCTATCAGACAGTAATTCACCGATACTTCTAGAAGAAGATGATGAATTATGATGTCGATTGGTGAAACCAAATGTAGACATGAAATGTGAAGGCAATGGACCAGGAAAATTTGAATAATTTGTTGGCATTGACGATGACTGGTTAATAAAGCTGGGTGGGGAACGATAACCCGATGGATATGCGCCACCGGGTAATAATGATGAATGTGGTAGAGGTTTATTTTTTATATCAGAAGATAAATTCATTGTTCCAGTAAATTTAGATGGGAAAAAGGCGGGTTGATCTTTGGAATGCATTGTTTTATGATAACCAGTCAATGAAGATACAGACAGAAAAGGCGAATCATTAGTGGTAATAGTAGTAGTAGTATTAGTACTGGTTGGACAGAATGATGAAGAAATATCTACTCTGTTAGACGACAATTCAGAAGGTAAGAAGGGAAAAGTTGTGGAATGCTGAAATAAGCTGGATGCATCATGATTATTATTATTATTATTACTCGATTGCTGCTGCTGCTGATGATGATGAGAAGGCAGAGGCGGGAAAAGAAAATCTCTATGAGCAGAATTTATTGAATCCTTATAGCCTGTGTTTAATTGATTTTCTCGAGGAAAGAATTTCCCCGAAGAGGCGATATTTTCTGTTGACGACGTGGTGGCTACAGATGGTGCACTCATATTACTTGATTGTAAATCCAACTTGTTTGTACTCAGGACAGATTTGCCATTCAGCATAGACATTGTTCGAAATTTATCTGACTTGTTGCTGCTCCCGTTGTTGTTATGATGAAGAGAGAAAGGATGTATCGCATCTCCAGAAGTCTGATGATTATGACGATGACCTGCATCAATCATTGGTTGTCTTGAAGTGTTGAAATTATTCATTGATAAGGGGAGGAATTCTGAGGTGAAATTATTACCACTATTATTATTTCTTCCATCATTACTATCACCATTCAGTAATGTTTTATTGTATACTACTGAGGTCAAAGCATCAATAGATCCTTTCTTATGTTGTCTTGCAGATGATAAGTTGTCATCTGTATCAATTATGGAAGGGATTGTTGTCAGTAAACGAGGACTATTCAGAGTATGTGCTGTTGCGACAACATTCGACTGTGTAGATGATAATGATGGCGGGGGAGATGATAATGAAAATGACGTTGTCGTTGGTGTTGTTGTTGCTGTCATAGGGAATGGGTAATTTTGTTTTCTATATATCGGAGAATTCGATTTCATGCATGTTTGTTGGTCAGAGGATAATTCCGAGTGGGTGGTAGACGGTGCTAGAATTGGTGGAAGAGGAGACAGACATTTATTATTACTGTTAGTAATAGTATTACTGGGGTTGACAACATCATCAAGCATATTAGTGATTTGTATTTTTGGACGATTCATAGCCAGAGGGGATAATGGTTCATCAGCATAATATTTCCCAGTTGGAGATCGATCATGAACACGTAACCGGTGTTGGTGTTGTTGTGGTGGTGGGCGTTGTTGACCACCACCTTGTTGACAAGATGATTTACTTCCCTCCAGTTTTAATTTATCCAACATATTTGAATGATTCATTAACACTAATTTATCTGATGTGGCTGCACCACGTAATCCAATTGTTCCAGATCTATTATTATTATTATTACTACTATTACTATATCGTGTTCCTCTAATGTGTATACCATGCTTGTGAAATAAATGTCGTCGACGTTTCCTCCGTCTAGCATGATAGGCATAATTATCACGTGCTGACCAATTTGGATATAATTGTTGGTGTAATTCTTTCTCGTGTCTTGCCATTTCATAATATTTTGTCTGTTCTTCTCTAGATAATTCATGCCATTTTTTGCCTAATACTTGATTAATAGCCGCTGATTCTTTCAGTGTACACTCTTCTTGTACACGTGTACGCATCTCTTTCATAAACAGCATAAATGCATTCAATGGTTTCTTGATATGCATACCACCCTTTGATGATGAAGGTGTCGTTGTAGACATCCCTAGCGCTGATGATGTTGCTGATGATGACATGAATAAATGATTTGATTTCTTCATTTTCTCATTAAATGAATCAAGAATTGTTTCATCATTATTGTTATTATGATTACTTCTATTGACACTACTACTGTTACTTGATTTCGTTAGAGATTTTACAAATTCATAGCTTCGACGATCTCGACATCTATATTTAATTTTTTTCAACAAAAAACAAACAATAAAATCATGATTATTAGTAAATTAAGAGAAATTAAAACAATATAATTACACATCAGTTACATAAAGGTTAAAACTTTCTGTTAAATAGAATTATACTACTTACAAAAACGATTACAGTAGTATACCATGATGTTGGACATATTATCGGTTTTAATAACAATTCGAGGAGGAGGAGAAAAAGAAGGATGGCAGGTGAATTTTTGAAATCATCCCTTTCAAAAATAATCATCAGTGCGAAATTAGCACGCAGCTGAAGCTAATTAGACCTACCCAGTCAGAGCACTGCTTCTCCCCTTCCCCCCCCCCCACCAGACACACACACGTCGATTTGTGTGAAGATACACGTTTTTTATCCCAAAAAAAAAGAATAACTAGGAGGACGAACTAAATTATTTTAAGAGTTGGTTTGTAAGGATTAGATTTGTTTTGACGACTTTGACCATGGATTGATATCAGTTAGAGAACCATTGAAAATCAGGGAGTACTGGATATTCAGGTGTTTCATCCTATTTTTTAAGAATCATCGGCAGTACGCACCCCACTAGGGTTCGAAACCAAGACCTCTCAGTTACAAGGCTAGTGAGCTCATATACCATTTAACCAGTGGGACCCGATGCAGTGGTTTATTGGCTGAATGGCATACGAGCTTGCATTGTAACTGGGAAGTCCTGGGTTCGAACCCTTGTGGTGGATGCGTACTGCCGACGATTCCCAAACTAGGATGAAACAGCTGTCCAGTAGGCCCCCCAGCTGGTTTCCAATGGTTCTCCAACTGATATCAATCCATGGTCAAACTCGTAAATTGTTGTACTTGAAATAAGATGTTGCAAGCATTCTGATTTATTCCAATGTAGAGATTTTGTCACTGTTCGACATTTTTTCCTTCACATTCCTCAGTGGAACATAGAGCTTCAAGGTTGTGGCTTGAAGTTTCTGTAGCAGTGCTTATTATACAGGATGGGGTCGCTAGCCTCATGCCCAACCTTTCTTCTTCACCAGCATTATTTCTGGCTTAGCGAGGTAAAGGAGTGCGTCGGCCGGGGATCGAACCCCGGACCATGTGCGTGGTCGGCGAGCACCCTAACCGCTATGCCACCGACGCACACACTAATCGACATCAGAGTTAGAAAATCATTGTAAGTCACGTGATGTGGATACCCAAAATGACACCATTGGTTGGCGATATAGTAGTCTATCGTAGATCAACACAAATTTGAATGATTAATGGTTAAACCTTTTAACCTAAAGGTCCTACTTAGGTTGTATCCCTGGTAGGGTCGTTATGCAAGCGTCCCTAAATGAGACAGAAACAATTGTCCAATTGCTCGTTGACTGTTCAATGATCCTTTGACTGATGTAGCACTACCCATGACGAAATCTCTACAGTGAAATTCAGGTATAAACTGTTTCAAATGTCTAAGAATTCTTCATAAAGTGTTAAAGCCTTCAACACTAAATAAACCATAGCAATAATACTACTAATAATAATACAAATAAAAATGCCTTTTTGTCTGTCAGTTGAGAAGAAGCATACACTCTCTTTCCCAATTGATTATAAAATTATTTCTTGCTAACTTTGTACACCAAACTAAAATGTATTTTACAACAACAAGAAAAAAAGAAGGGGGAAAAGATTATTATGATTATTCACTAACAAACAGACAAATAAATAAACAGATTGATTTTACGACAAGTTTGACTCGTTGTATGCAACAATACATGTAAACTTTTCAAAAACAAAAAGAGTTTATTGACTGTATATACTGCATTTATATATACAGCATTTATGCGTTCAGGAAGAAGCGGTTATCAGTCTTTCCCTGCCCTGCATCCTGGTAACCGGATGTAGTCATCCTCTCTTTCATCTGATTGCGTAATGCCGAAAGTTTCTATTGTGCATGATCATTATTATTTGGGATAAAGTGATTATTATTGTTGTTATTATTAGCATCGTATGCACTCCTTTACCTCGTTAAGCCAGTAATAAGACTGATAAAGAGGGAAGCTTGGGCATGCAGCTAGCAACCCCACCCCGTAAAGATAAAATTCAAACCTTTAGCTTGAAGCCCTACGTTCCAGTGGAAGAATGTAAAGGTATAAAAAAAGAAAAATGCATATATTGACTAATAGATTTTTTGTTTAAAAATGAAATCTCTGTTCAAGTATGTGAAAATTGTTTCTGTAGATATACTTAATAATGACTTTGGCCTGTAAGCAGCTAATGATAAGCCAACAAAATAAACAAAGGATGGTACCGGGAGTACTGGACAGCTGTTTCATCTGCCTAGTTACGGACTCTTCCGCAGTACGCACCCACCGGGGTTCGAACCCAGGACTTTCTGATTACAAGGCGAGCTCGAAACAGCTGTCCAGTACTCTCAGGATTTTCAATGGTTCTCTAACCATTGTCAGCTCATGATGAAACCTTGCAACCAATCAACAAAATCCCTACAAAGCAATATTTGAAAGGATGGTACTATCGTCTTATTCTGCAAAAACTGTTATTCTTGATTTATTCAAATATATATTTTGTGTTAAAACAGAAACATTCCAATGTAGTGAACAATATGTGTGTGTATGCATTTGAGTGTGCACTACATGGGAAGAGTGAGTAGATAACTGGAGGTATTTGATTTTGATAATTTGAAATAATCAGAAAAGGAGAAATTATCTAGTTCCGAGTCTACTCTTTCTTCTTATCCTTCTTCCCTACTCTTCGTGATTCAACTATTGGGATTATTATTAATATTATTATTCCCTTGCATTCCTAGTGGAACATAGGGTTTCAACAACACATCTCCACTTTGTTCTGTTTTCTGCCGTCTTCTTCAGCTGGCTGGGTCCACAATTGACCAAACTCTCTCATCTCATTCTCACACAATCTCCTCCATGTTACCCTCGCACTGACGACCCACTCGTCGCTTCCTATTTGGATTCCACTCGAGCGATGGCCTGGATTGAGGGCGATGTCATCAACTATTGGGAACTATACATCAAATGAAGATAGTATTGTTGGGAAGCTACATCAATTCAGATGGCTAGGCGATGTTTCGCGTATATCGAGCTACCGACTTCCTCGACAACATAAAGTTGGAAAAGAGTTAAGATTGGTTAAACTGTATAGTTACGACCCTCAGGATAGTAGAAACAAATGGCTGGAAACTGTTGGCGATAATATAGAGCAAAATTGTTCTCAATGGTGTAAATGCGCTCATGCTTTTATAATCTCCAAAAATGTATTAAGCCATCACATTCATCTAGATTACTATTCATTGTCACCTAGATTTCTGCTTTCTATAACCGTTTTGAATTTCTTTTCTCTCAACCTTTATGTACTATAACATGGAATGTGGAGACTTGAACTGCTGCGGTACTTCTGTGCAAACTTCTCTACGTTAGAAATTCAGTGAGTAAAATAGTTCTGTGGGTCAGTGTACAAATACACAAACACATCACACTTTTATATCACTGTTATCAACCTTACTGTTAGATTTATTTCAAAAGTGTAGTGTACCATTACTAAAATAAGATGAGCATGTGGGGCCATAGTGTGTGTGTATATATGCGCACAGTAAACCTATTTTCAATCAATTAGACAACTTCAACGGTGCATACACACACACACACACGCGCACACTCCTCTAATATGCACATATACAAATTTTATCATAATGCTAAGCTGATGGATGATAAATCAAGATGTTTACTGACAGTTAAACCAGTTAGTTAAGCCAGCAGCTGGCTTGAAAAATTAACAATAAATAAATAAGTAAATACATAAAGTTCTCATTTATTATTGTGTTTTATACTGAAGTAGTCTGACTACTTTCCCTCACTATCCTTCCCTCCATTTCTCTCACTCACTCACTCTCTCTCGCTCGCTCGCTCACTCTCTGTCTCTGGCTATCTGTCAATATTTTCTGTGTGTTTCCCAACCACAACCCCAACCCCAACTACTACTGCTGCTGCTGATAGCACGACTTTGTCGTCACTTTCATTAAAAATAGACAGATTGACACCGAAGGAGTAGACGACCCAGAGTGGGAAGAGGGAGAGAGGGAGAGAGAAACTGAGTGAGGGACAACAACAACAACAACAAGGCGACTACTGAATGTAATCAATCCATCAAAATGAATTTGCCACCTGTCTTACAAATTTTGGCTATCACGCCTTTCACTAGTTTATCCTGGATAACAGTATTAGAAGTGGTAGTGATAAAAATAACTAGTTATAATAATAATAATAAAACAGTTAACATATCAGCCACACTAGATGAAACAAACAAGGAGTGAAGAGAAACCCCTGTAAAAAATATCAAACAATAAATAATTGGAAAACTCTTTTTTTTAATAAAAAAAGGAAACATAAAGAATGGGAAGATTGGTGGCACACAGAAACAGAGACAAAGCGTGTTGGCGATGGGGGTGAGGTGGGGTAGGAAGGACGGCAACGGTGGGAATATGACTATTACTCAGCTAAGTCATAACAATAGATCAATCATGTGTATATATTATGTGAATAACTGACAGGTAGGTAGGTAGGTATATGTGATCCCATGAATAACAATAACGACAACAACAACAACAATACCTGTGGCATGTTGGCATGTGTGTCTGTGTCTGTGATAGATGGAATTGCAAAGTTGAGAGGTTGATTACGATTGGTCAAGTGGAATCAATTAAATTAATTAATTGATTGATTAAAACAAAAATAGAAAATAAAGAAGTACAATGGTTGTGTGTTTACATGTATGTGTGCGTGTATGTGTGACAGTGAGTGACTATATCTACACAGTACAGACAACGTGGAGGAAAGAATTATTCTTCGCAATTGAATTTTCAAAAATAGAAATTGACAGATTTGTGGATGTGATTTGGGCCATTCATCATCATCATCATCATCAAAATCAACTAACTTATCAACGGCCCCGCCTTCCCCGCCTCCATCAACCTATTCATCATTCAAATCTACTAGCCAATTCATCAAATATAATGAATGAGTGTGTGCACACACAGGCACATGGATGGATAGATAGATAGACAGGCGGAGACGGAGATACAACACAAAACGGCATTTATCATCTCTTAAAAGTTTTCCGACCTGAATTGAATTTTAAAAAAATACCAGCTGAAATGAGTAATATGCAGAAACGTCCAACATGACTTGGATCACACAATAGACTGTGGGGGTGGCAAGAAGACAGAAAGAAGATCTGGACTATACAGGTGATTTATGCTAACTGTCACATAGACTTGTTTATCTATAGGCGAAAAACCATAAAAAAGGTAAATTGGCAGAAGAGGCTGTCACCGAAGACAGGACTTGAAGTGAGGGACATAGAAAAGGCAGAAGATGCCTAACCAGTCACCACCACCCAACCCCACCCCCCGCCAATGGGAGAAATTTGAAAGAAGTCACTCCTTTCACTTATCTAGGCAGCATAGGCAGACAACACGATCAGAGAACCAAGAATAGGTCTTCATTAAACTGCTGAGTTACTCATCAATGAAAATAAGGGTCAGATTCTCAAAACTAATGTCATATATGACTGCTTTTTTATGATTCACAGAGACTCAACGTGTCATCAAAAGCATTTTGAACAGGCTTAGGACTTTCATCAACTACAGCCTTCATAGACTCGATTTTTTAAAATTTTATCTCTTTGCTTTCCCAGTGGAACATAGGGCGCCTTCAAGCTAGAGGCTTGAAGTTTCTGTAGCAATGGTCTTAATTTTTACAAGATGAGGTTGCTAGCCTCATGCTCAACCTTCACTCTTTACCAGTCACATTACTGGAGGAGTGTGTCGGTGCCCAGGGATCGAACTCCAAGCCAGCTGCATGGTTGGTGAGTATCCTACCGCTGTGCCACCGACTCGATACTGAAGATCAATCAGATGGCCGACTAGAAAGGATTAACAACAAGGAATTGTCTGACGTGCAACACTCACCAAGAACATGTTGTCAAAGAAAGTGGAAATGGATCGAAGACACTCTTAGGGGGAGACCATTGTGTGACATTACGCGCCAGACTGGCTCTCAAATGGAACCCAAATGGAATACAACGAGTTGACCTGCGGTTCGAGGGTAAAATGGAGATGTTCTTTTCCAGTAGCAGCCCAATCGAATAATAAAAATGAATAGACAAAAGTGGAGCATAGTGTCGAATTCAACACCTGTTCGGTTATGCAGAGAATATTCAAGTAATAGATTAACTTCACACACACACACAAACTAGATCCAATGAATCGAAACGACCCACAGATTATATTTGTCAATGACTACTCTTCAATGTCTACTAATACCTACAGATTATTGGTTGTAGATTAATACTCTCATTAGATAAACAGTCAAATAGAAACAGAGAGAGAGATAAAAAAGAGACAAAGTGAATACCCTCCCCCAAAAAGAGGGGGGGTTAAACATTTAACAAAAAAAGTTCGCCAATTCTTACCTCGAATTGAACAGATGACTTCGACTAGGCCATAAACTTGAAGATATATTAGTAGTACCACGTACAGCATTTCCACTACTACTACTATTATTACTACTATCGACAACAGCACTAATAGCAGGAAGAGAAGAAATCGACGAGGATGACGGCGGTGATGATGGGGAGGAATTTCCTAGCATAGCACTTGCAGCTACAGCTGCTACAACAGCCGCAGCCTGTTGACGTCTCCATAAGCAGCTATCCGATAGTGAATCATTATTACTATTATCATTAGTGTTGTCATTACAATTTCTACTCTGGAAAGATGAAGAACCAGTGGGTAACTGACTTGCCAGTAAATCAGACGATTTGATTCCACGACTTGGATCTTCCATGGTAATAGAAGTAGTAGTAACAGCAGTAGGAGTGGCAGCTTGAGCTGTATGCACTGAACCAGCAGTATTACTACTATTAGCCAACGAAACTGCTGCTGCTGATGATGACGATGATGATAAATTCGAGTTGAACGAGGCCGCTGCTGCTGCGGCAGATAACAACTGCATATGTGCGGCAGCTGCTGCTGCAGCAAACATACTGATGAAGCAAAAACAAAAGGAGAAAGAGATAAATGAGTGAATAAATAAATAAATCAGTGAGTAGTTTAAAATTTCTTTTAAATCACTTTATTCCTTTGCATTCTGAGTGGAACTGTAGAGTGGCTTCAAGCTCGAGCTCTGAAGTTCAATTTTTTCTACGAAGTGGGGTTGTTACCCTCACACGTCCAACCTTCTCTCTTTGTCGGGATTACAACCGACTAGTGGATGTAAGGGTGTGTGTGTGTTGGCCAGGAATCGAACCTCGGACCACTTGCACAGCTGTTGAGCATCCAACCGCTGGACCACCGACGCACACTGAGGCATATACTCTGTATAATTCAACACTTATCATATGGACGTGTTGTAGACAACAAAAGTAATGATAAAAACGATAATGTCAATAATAATAATAATAATAATGATAGTGCCGATTTGGTTTATCTGCTTAAACATTTGACTTTCAGTCTATGAGTCTTGGGGTTCAAACCCTCACCCTTCTACTTTATTCAGGGCAACTGAGCAGTATCAGTATCGTGTCATACAATAAATGTGGCTTCTGGTCTGGTGGTACACCAGATACCTCACTCCAAGCAACTGAGTTTTAACGACCATTATTATTATTTATTAGGACACAAATTTGGTGTATTATGAGCCCCAAGAGATGCGTCACACGAAATCTCATAGTTAGTGAGACGTCTAAGATACTGTCCGAGCGACCAAACCGAAGCAGGTGGTTGTCTTGAGAGGGCTACTCCCCCACCCCCCCCCCACACACACTTGAACCTTTGACTTGAATTCTGATCTACACAAGCTAAATTCGCACGGATCCCGGTGACCAAAACAGGTTCATATGGCATTCAATCCATTCGAATTGTGGAGTCCATGTACACACCAGCATAGGTTTGGAATCAGGGTTTTCCAACTCTCTCTCTCTCTCCTAGGTCAGCCTGGATGTCCACCATTCTTGATTGTAAGTACTAGATGTTCACATTCACCTATTCACTTTTCTGAGAAACAATCATAATAATAACAATAATAATATAACCTCAGATAGAAGATACATATATATTTTTACGCTAATGTGTAATTCAATCAAAGATTAGTTAAACATTATGTCCAAAGGTATAATCTACGAATTGAAGTACTAATACTACTGATAGTATTCAGTTTCAGTAATATGTGACAAAATATCTTGAACAATGTAAAGTGAATACATCAACTGAAACCATCAACAAATAAGACAATTTTATGTAAGCGAAGGTAGATGTGAAGACAGGATTCCAGGTGAACATAGAGAAAAAGATGATGATGAAGATAACCAACCATTAGCAACAACAACAACCAGCACCAATCACCACCAACGGGAGAGATTTGATAGAGGTTACTTGCTTCACTTATCCGGCTAGGAAGCACGCTTTCAATCACAGGCATTCGGAACGGATGACGATGTCAAAGCCAGTCAGAATCGGAAAGGCAAGATACGCCTTCATCAACCTGAAACCAGTTTGGAAATCTTCTGCACTCCACCTCAGCATGAACAACAAGATTCGGATTTTCAACACAAATGTGAAGTCAGCCAGTCAGTTCTTCTATACGAGTCAAAAACTTCCACTGCTTGTGTGTCACGAGAATGATATCCAACAGGTCAGAGACTCTTATCAACATCTGCCTTCACTGGCTCCATACTGAAGATCAGACGACCGCCTAGTCAGAAAAAATTAGCAACGAAAAACTCAGGCTGGTAACAAATCAACCAAGAAGCCGATCGTTCAACAAATATGTAGAAGAAAATGGAGATGGATTGATCACGCATACGTTGAGGAGGTCGATGGATGATATCGCGCGCAATGCACTCCACTGCTCAAGTGAGTCGTCACTGCGACGGTGACCTGGAAGAGGTCGTATGAAGAAGAGATGAGAGATCATGGGTAACCGTGGACCCAGATGAAGAGAACAGCAGAAAATAGAACAAAGTGTAGATGTGCTCTTGAAGCCCTATGTTCCACTCGGAACCCAAAGGAATAATAATAATAATAATAGATAGATAGATAGATAGATAGATGCCAAAGCACAGATATGCACAAATATCCTCAACAATGAGTAGTATATTAATAAAACATAAAAAATAACTCACAAACACTAATTGATTTAATAAAAAAACCTACCTTGGAGAATAGGGACTAGCAGCAGCAGAATTATTTCCAGTAGAAGTTCGACTACCACTGTTATTATTATTGTTATTGTTAGTATTACTCTCACATCTTTGATACAATGCCGCTGGAGATAACGCTGGACACGATAACTTCGGAGAGGATGGTATTCCACAAATACCACCACCACCACCAGGAGATTTAACTGATTGGAAATGATTTAAAAAGGCAGATTTATTCCCTGGTGTCGATGGACTCAAAGGGAATATATTAGTACAAGATGGTGATGTTTGATGCTGATGTTGGTGTTGATGGGGATTCGGTGTGAAATGTTGTGATCTACTGCCTGGTGTTCTCGGTGAACCTGCTCCACTCCATGAAGCTACAGCTGCGGCGACAGCTGCAGCAGCACACGCAGCTACTGCATAGAAATTCGACGATGTCGATGGAGATAGAGGATTATTATTACTATTATTGTTATTCATGTTATGAACAGGTGGTCCAGGAGACGATATCTGTCCGGATGTTGATGTTAATTGATTAACAACAGATGATGGTTTAGGTGAGTCAACTGAAGCATCCAATGAACGAGAACCTAAAGTCACAAAATAAACAGGTCATAGTATTTATGAACACAGAAATTACTGATTCATATATAAGTAGTCGAAAACCACTGGATGGCTGAGCTCATAAGTGTAGTGAACTTGGTTCAACTTGCTTCAGAGAGATAAATCGATTGAAGGCAAGCGATCACATATTATAATCTGAATATTGTCAGTCTCCAATTAGGAACTTTGGTAATTTGTAACTAAAGTTTATGTCATTGTTATCGATCGCATATTGTCTTATATAGAACCTCTTATTATAGATTTAAGTTGTCTCCCAGACAGTCCAAACTTATACATAAGGTTCAGGAAAATAGTCAGGGGGTTAAAACATTGCAAACAAGTATTTTGAATGGATACTAGTAACTAGTGTGGCATGTCTAGTCCTTTCTTCGGTGCAGACTGAATTCTATCAGTCAGTCAGGTTTGCAATGTAGCCACCATGCCACTAGGTAGCTCGCCATCACGGTGTCCGTCTCTGACTGCAGGCGCCAGTGGGTGACGAGGGTTCGAATCTCACAAGGGACATGAGTTCCTTCAAGGCAGTTGTAGATACGCCTTGCTGACTGACTGATGAGTGTCAACTAGCACGAAACCTAGGTCAAGGCAAGGCTTCCTTCCTGTGGCCGATTGCCTCCAACTATCTAATACTGTAAACAAGTATTGACTTATACACTTGTATAACACTATATGCCAATGATTAGTTGAGATGAGTGATTACATATCACTCACAAGCACCCAGTAGTGCTTGCTTACTGACCAGCCAATGGTCTAAACACCGGACGGCCATTTCTTTCGTTTAGGGATTACGGTCATCAGCGATAGACCCGGTATGACTGAGAATTTGATCTATACACCAAACGTTTGACTTCATTTCATTGAACAACAGCTGTTTCGTCTTATTTCGGGACTCTTCATCAGTATTCACTCTATCACGACCCCTCTAGGGATCGAACTCGGGAGTTTCAGGTTACGAGACTCAGCTCGTTGACTATTATTCAGCCACTGGGTGGGTCCTGAAATCCAATGACCCATGAACTCTATCTAACTTTTGTCAACTCGTGATAGATAGATATATAGACTAGAATCCACAAAAAGAAATGATATTTCAGTCAACTGTAAAAAAAGCAAAATAAACCATGTTCTACACTTAGAAGAGAAGTAAGTATATGTCAACAGCAAACAAGGTACACTTACGAGATATTGGTACTGGTGATTGGTTATGTTCTCTTAACGATAATTCAAGGGCTACATCTGTTTCTTCAGGTTGACGATTTAACATACTCAGACTAGAAGATAAATCTCTTGAGTACTGATGATGATGCTGTTGTTGTTGTTGTTGTTGTTGTTGATGGTCAGAAGGATGTTGTTGTTGAGGATGTAGACTATACGGAGATGAATGTCGTCTATTATATGCATTTGTATACAATGCTGACAATGAATCCAGTCTATTGTCATCACGACCAATAGTATCATTGTTTACAGGGATCCTGTGTCTTGAACTCCCATATTCATCATGATCAGTATCATTATGCATGCATGCATTGAAACCATTCAGTGTTGGTATTCTCTTGCTGTACTTTGAATTAGCCGACAGTTGTACATTATTATTATTATTATTATTATTATTATCTATGCATAAAGATGTTGTAGTATCAGTTTGTGTCTTTTGTAATGACGATGATGTGAATGATGCGGACGAGGAGGACGAGGAGGAAGAGTAAGCTGCTGCTGCTACGGCCGCCGCTGCGGCTGCGGCTGCCGCTGCTGCAGCTGCAGCACTACATCCAAATGGATCATAGAATGGAATTAAACCAAATGGGTTGGGAACACATGAAGAGAACTGGTTGGTCTATAATTAAATTAAAAAAGAAAAATGAAAGGATACAATAGATAACATCAAAATTATGAGTAGTAGTCAATAAAAACAAACAAACAACACAAGTAACAATAAACACTTGCGTTAATTCGTGTGTACCAGGTTATACTATTCAGGGTTAAAAAAAGCGTTATCATCCGACTCTCTAGGTGACAACATAATTAGGGTTCAGTAAACCAACATTCATCAACCTGAAGCCAACCTGGAAATCTTCGTCACTCAGCCTGCATCAACAACAAAATTCGGATTTTCAATACAAACGTCAGGTCAGTTCTTTTATACGGACCAGAAACTTGGCGGAGAATATTTCCAACACGTTGCAGACCTTTATCAACAACTGTCTTCGCTGGCTCTATACTGAAGATCAGATGGCCGGAAAGAATCACCAACAAGAAACTATGGGAACAAATAAAACAAGAACCAATCGCCCAAGAAGTATGCAGGAGAAAGTGGAGATGGATTGGACACTCACTGAGGAGGCCGTTGGGTGACATCGCGCGTCAGGCCATAGCTCGAGTGGAACCCGAAAGGGAAGCGGCGAGTGGGACGTGCAAGGATGACATGGAGGAGATCGTGTGAAGAGGAGTTGAAACAGTATGGACTAACATGGATGCAGGTGAAAAGTACAGCAGAAGACAGAAGCAAGTGGAGGCGTGCAGTTGAAGCCCTATGTTCCACTAGGAACCCAAGGGAACAATAATAATAATAAACCAACTGATCAAAATTTGTTTTTGTTTTTTAACTTTTAATTTGCATTTCGTGTAGGTTGATTATGTTGCTGACAGGTTTCGATGACGAGTTGACAATGGGATATCCACAGAGAGAGTACTGGACACTTGTTTCATCCTGGTCTGGGACTCTTCATCAGTACGCAACTAGGACCTTCCAGTTTAAAGGTGAGCTCGCAGACCATCCAACCACTAAGACTCTCGTCCAATGACTCATGAATGACAACCTCTACCAATTCACATGATATGCAGCGAGAGTAACTGTTCTTTAACCTAACTTGGTAGACCCCACCAGTCATGACTTTTCACCGGATGACTTCGGATGACTTTCTCTGAATAGAACTGCTCACGCCTAGTACGGACGCTTCAACGATATCTAACGATGGATTAATGTGATATTATTTTTGTTAATGGTGGTCACTAGCAGTAGTAATGGTCTACTGGAAAATGCTTTGCTATTTGAAACAATCGTTGAAGGGTTTGAGTTCCAATGCGAACACACTATCATATACAATGTAGGTATATCATCCATGTGAATAAGTCACAAATAGAACAAACTGCGTGTCCTGAACTAGACTATTAGTCACCACATCAACACACACAGAAATAACAAATATCAGTTCCTTATCAGGTTATACTCTGATAATCAATAATATATATCTATATATGTGCGCCTACAAAAGTACGCGATTAAGAATACGTATCAATTATATAGGGAATGTAATGTCAACACGAAATCCTTGTGTATCTTTCTTTACAATAGTTGAATGATGATTGAAGACAAAGGGCAGGACATTCTCACAGACCTAGGTTTCGTGCTTACTTGACAGTCGTCAGGATAGCGTACCTATGTGAACGAGAATGAATGAAATTGATGTCCCGTCGGTAATTCTAACTCGCGTCACACTCAATACAGCAGACAATGACGCTACCCGTAGAATTATTCAAAGTATTATGTCTCTGGACGATATTTCATTCAAAGGATTGTAAAGAAAACATAGCGAGAAGTGGAAGAAGAAGAAGACAAAGAATGAAACTTAAGTAGACCTATCTGGATAAAGTTCAACAATAGCGTCCCAGGGGATGCGAACGCACGAGTGACCTTCAGCCGACCAATCATAAAAATGAGGAGCTTTTTCACAAAAATTGACGTATATTTACAAGAAAATGCATGAAAACACATTATAAACAGGGTATCTTTCTCTAAAATGACTTAAAAATGTGCTGAAGTTATAGTAAGGAGTATCAGTTGCTAAGTTAGACTAGTTTCTGTACATATATTCACCGAGGTGGTGACTAAAGATGAGCTATTTTTGTGAATTGTTTATCTCTTTTATCCTATTGTGCAGCCTTCCCCAAAGCCCTCGGTTGAATTACTATGGTTTCCAGTAAGAGGATCGACAACTACTTACCAGGAAAATGTGGATGTAATAAAACAAATAAAAATAAATGACATCAACTCAAAATCTGTCGCTAATCGTAACCCTAACCTCAGACTTAACACTAACCCTAATTGCAACTCTTATCTTAACCTCAATCCTAACCCTAACAAGCTATTAACACATTGTCGAAACAGTACTTAAAAACGTGATCTGGGTGAAATTTGCTGCTTAAATGGTGAATAGCATTGATATTCCAGTTATGATCATGACAGGTGCCGTTAGCCAACGAACGAGCGTTCAAGCAAGCGTTCAAGGTCACCGGAGAGTTCGCCCTCCGGGGACGCTATTGTTGAACTTCGCCCTTACTTATCATGAAGATCAAAAGGTTGAACTCCTTCCAACGGTACTCGTAAGTGTTTATGATCAACATTCTATTCTGATAATATTATTATATTTTGCTAGAGTGTTGTATATAGATATATCGTATATCGTTAAACTGTTGTGGTAAAACAGTTAATTAGCATCTATCACAACATTTATACATAAATGTATCATTGGAATGATACCATCTTTTATTTGTCATACACGATCCACAGGAAATGATGATCATTGAAATGGGTAGGTAATATACTACTACTAATAATAATGATAATGTTGATGATGGAAAAGCAACAATAATAAATGAGATTATTATTATTATATATAGTCACTAATTTATATGACATAGATATTTACTACTAATCATCATAGTATCATCTGAGCATGTTGTACAAAAATAAAACTATACAAACGGAGGGGGGAGGGGAGGTAGGAGGGAAACATCGGAGAAAAAAGGCCAGTAAGCAGCCAGCCAACCAACCAACCGAACAGAGAACACAACATAAAACTGGACTAGCCTGTTCCTTGTTAATTAATGTGATACAGTGAAGAGAAGGGAAACAATAATTTATTTTTTTCAAAAAAAAGGAGAATAAGGTATAATCATCATATCAATCAGTGAGGATTATTATAAATTATTATATACACACTCATATACCTACTACTGCTACTACTGCTACAACTATAAATGATTAGAAATATACATTCCTGTTTATTTCTGTTTTTATGCGCATCTGTATTATAACAAGAAGACTAGTGATGGAGATGTACAACTATGAGAGGTAATCAACAGAAGGCAGCAATAATAATATGAAAGAGAAACTGATAAAATCATAATTAGTCATTTAACTGACTAACTGGCGATGTATTTATCTGCCCATCTATCTCTTTCTCTGTATCTCTATTTACCTATCTAATTATTATTATTGTTAGTTATCCGTTTTAATATGTATCTGAATGAACAAGGGAGACAGCGCACAAGTATAAAATGATGTATGTTTATATATACAGGCATGTAGATTTTTTAGAAAGTAATAATAATAATAATAAATAATCATCTTTGATTTATCTGCCTCCAATATGTATTTTTCCATTCTTTCTCTGTTGTTGGAACTGATTAGTTTGGTAGGTACTACATCACTCACTCACTCAATCACACACACACACACACACACTGTCTCTTAGATCTCTTCTGGATTACAAATTTCCCTTGATTTACTACTCATAACTGCCTACTTTGGAAAAAGGCGAAAGAGAGAGAGAGAGTAAATAAGGGAGATTCTGGAAACTCCACAGTCTACTATTCACATAAATAGAGACAGTAGAAGAGAGACGAAGAGAGAGAGAGTAAAGAGGCTAAATGAAGAGGACGCGGGGCAGAAACCAGCTTATATCGACACAATAACGGTAATTAATGATACTGAACAATAGGTGGCTGGAAAACAATAAATACATATGTAAATTATACTACAATAAATAAATAAACAAATAAATAAACATAAATAAATAGCTAACTGTATAAATCATTCTAATTAATATCATTTCATTAGTACTAATCATAGCAAATAACTATTCCCCATTAAATTCTCATACTCACAGATATAGAGAGAATATTCTTTTAGAGAGGCATATTAAAAAAAAATGTATTAGAAGAATAATGCAGTAAAACTGGCTACCCACTACTTAATATCTCATACTAAGTGATATAATGACAAGATGACTAACCCAAAAAATGGATGATACCGAGGGGACGGGAGAGGGAAGGGTGATGCAGGAAATAGGCAGAATTCAGTAAAGCTACGATTAGATTCAATTAGATCATATCAGATGGCATCAGATCAGATCAGATCAGATGAGGACAAATCAAATCACAATAAAATCAACTAGTAGTAATTACTAATTACACTATTGTTCCACACACCCACCCACCCACCCACACACGTGTACACAAAGAGACAGGATGATATTTATATATTTATCAGAACTGATTCATCACTCTCCTCTAATCAAAATAATTCTCTATTGGGGGGGGATAAAGCACAAAATGCATTAATGGAGTAAATATCCTATCAATAAACAAGTAAATAAGTGAATACTTTTGAGTACTATTATTTTTATGCCTTATTTCCCAACCATGCACCCAACCGCCCCCCGCCTCCCTAACCCACCATGCCTTCTGCTTCCCTTGGCAGTTTGTTGTTCAAAGGAGAAGAAAAAACCAGATAAACAAATGGAAAACAAATACATATACATATAAACAAGTAAATAACTAAATAAATTCTGCAAACAAGAAAAAAGGGAATTCCATTTTCCTCATGTGATAAATAGGTAGCAGAAAGCGGAAAATGATAAACCAGAGAGAGAGAATTACTAATTAATTAATCAGATGTTTGGAGGCAGTTGCAGATACGCCTTGTTGACTGGTGAGTGCCAACTAGCACGAAACCTAGGTCAAGTAGGGCTTCCTTCCTGTCGATTGCCTCCA